ATATATATATATATATATATATATATATGCAACTGTAATACGTCTTATGTAACGTAAAATTTGTATTCTTATGTAAATGTATGCATATGAACAATAGCTGTTTGCATATTGCGAGAATGTTTATGGTTCCATCGTATCATTGAATTTACAATTTAAATAAGACAACTAATGATTGATATATTGCGATATAATAAGAAACTATAATAAAATCATATATTTATATGTACCATAGTAAATATAAATATTATATATACTTCATTTATGACATATAATTTTGTACATAATATAATTTTGTAAACATAGTAATTTATATGATTTTAATTCAATTAAATTAAAAATTAAAGAAAGACAAAATGCGTCCTTGGAATGGTACGAATTAAACACAAGCTATCTCATGAATAGAATATTTCTTGTAATGGAATATACCTTAGAATATTTCTTGTAATAGAATATACCTTGGAATGGTACGAATTAAACACAAGCTATCTCATGAATAGAATATTTCTAAATATGTATAAAATTGTAATTAGATAATAAAATCGTAATACATTGTACTTACAATAAAAAGTACTGTTTGCTAATATTATATTCTAAATTAAAGCAGATACTATAAAATGTTCTACATTTTTTGTTATCTTTAATAAACTAAAACTTTAGAAAAATTTTGAGTAAAATTCAACAGATGAGTTTCTTTACATTTCCTATATTGACTTATTTCTTAGACTGTACCATTGTACATATTTCTCAAACAAATATCGTAGCTGTCAATTTTTGAGAAAATATAATAGATATTGTTGGATTTAAATAAAATTTATATTAAGTTAGGCATATTTTCTGTGATAATCGGGTGGTGAGTCTGCGTAGTCTTGTTGAAGATTAAAAAGTTCAGTACTATTATTCTGTAAGTATATTAAGAAATCGTGAAAATGAGATAATAATAACTGTATACTTCTTTCATCTAATGTAGTGTATGACAACATTCCTCCAAGTCTCACTGCAAATATAATTTGGCTTAATAATCTTTTCAATTCTATGTGAATGTATTACTATTAACTATATTTAGAAATAATACCAAATAGCCTTAGTAAATGAAATGCACCATATAGTTGACTGGGCAGTGTTTCAGGATTATCATTCATAATTTGAATAAATTGTGGACGTTCCCACTTATATAATAATTGTAAACCTAAAGAAATATTAAAATATTCGCGAATACCTTTAGTTATTTCTAATATACTTTCCCTAAAAATAACAAAGAATTTAAGTTTATGTCTTTTTATAAAATTATAATGTAAAAATAATACATTTATACAAACATACCTAACAGAATCATTTTTTCCCAATGATTTCGATTCTACATAATCATCTAGAATTTTATCAACTGTATTTTTTACAGGTAAAGAAGGTAATTTATGATATTTCAATATTACTTCTGATTCATCTATAAGTACAAACTTCAATTCCTCTGGTATCTTAATTTTAACTTCTACTTTAGTAAGATATTCTTCTGTTTCACCAGATGGTTCTAGTCGGCTGTAATAAATTTTCTTGTTTTGTACACTATCTTTAGTACTGTAAAATAAGCTCCTTATAAAAATTAATAAAATTTTTCTAGAACTAACCTGCGTTTTTTACGTGGAGCATCTGAAGTAGAATCATGTGATGATGATGGTGTCACACTGCTAGCTTTACTAAATCGATTGACACCTTTATCAACTGTTGCAACAGGAGTGCTAGCTCTACTATCAGTATCTTTTTCACGTATACCTTCACTTCTACGTCCTTGAGTTTTAGAAGAAGTGCTACCTTTTTTATTTTTTTGAGCAGATTGTTGATTTGAGTGTGCTCTTTGAACTTCTTTTTGTCTCTGAACATTTGCCTCGTTGTATTTAAGAACTCTGCTTTCAGGAACCCACTCATCCCAACTATTTACATTATAATTACAATCTTAATTATATTAAAAGTAGATAATATAAAATGAAATCATACTTCTTATTCCATCCTGCGTAATGAATGAAATATTTAATTTGCTTTTCCTTTGTAATGGAGGACTTTAGACATTTTGCTTCATATATTAATGGCCCATGAAAACATAGAACCTTTTCCCCTACAAATTATGAGATATTTATTAAAAATAAAATGAAAAATTACAGACGTTTATTATTAAAGTGATAAAAAGTTATTAAATACACGCTAGAACTTTTGATATAACTGTTAAAAATTGAGTATATACCTTCCTGAAATTTACATTTCGGCGGCATGCTTGTGTCCTTTGAATTACTTATTTTGACTGTTGATTTGTGAGTCGTCAGCTTTAAATATTGTCTGAATTTAGGAAATCGTTCAGTAATTCGCGCCAATAGAAAATAATTGATTTCTACTGATGAGTACAAACCAAACCTCTACATATACCGTCTTAGGCCTTGTTTTAAATATTTACAAATTAGGCTAGTTCGCAACGTAAGCGCTAGTGACAAAGCCTTAATGCTAGGGATCTTTTCTGTTGAGCAATTATGACGCCTGAAACGCGGATTTGTTATAAATTTAATTTCAAACTTAACATGGACAACATAAATAAAGACGAGTGTCGAATTATTAGATATATTTCTTCTGTATTAAAATAAGTATTGCATATCGACTACAAATAATTGACATAACGATAATTATATGTATTTTTTTAAGCCAAATGTACAATCTGTGAAATGTACGACAGTTATCATCTATTGTTTATTCTAACCTATAGCATATTAATACAAAGTACGAAAATAATCAATAATATTATTAGTATATACATTATATCTAAATTCTGTCTGTATATAAGACTGTAAAACATATGTAAAAAGAAATAATCAACATATACGAAATATAAGCAATACTCCCTCCTCGAGCGCTGTCGCGGAAATGGCAACTGATCAACTATAGCGCGAATGTAAGTAGTGGCACGCAACACTGCGCATGCGCGCTTCGTTTGAACCTAGGGCAAATGCGCGCACTTCTAATTCAATAAAAGCACTGATTAAATGTTTTCATATATGCTTTTTAATTTTTTTTTGACAAAACTATAATTGAAATAAAATATCAAAAACATAGGTTTAAGTGTTAAAATTATAAATCGTTTTATGCCGATTCATAATGATATAATAATGGCATAAGCGTAAATATGTTCATGACGATCAAAATTAAGTTTTGATGCTTTATTTTCATATCATATCGTTATACGTATTAAACGTACATAAAAAATATCTCTTCTACTATACTATTTATTATTTTGATATAGACATTTAGAACTTATTCGGAAGTTTTACGAACGAATTTTCCAAGTGCAAAATTATATATAACAACTTAAATTTAGCTGAGTAACAAGTCAAGTTAATATTGAACAACGGAAATTCCGATTCGAAAAAAATAAATACATCCCCTTATTTCATCCTATATACAATAAGATAAAAGCATAATTTTTCGTCTAAGACGTGATAAGCAAAAATATGAGGTCATGGAAAATTAAAAACATCACATTTTCCTATGATGTTACAGAAGATTATATTTTGTAACTTCCTCTTCATTTTTTTTTTTTTTATCTTCTTTTTACTATATCTTTCGACGGGTCATACCCGTAAAATGTGACAAAATTTTTGTTCGTCGTACTGATATATACATCACTCTTTTACTTTTTTTTTCTTTTTAAAGACAATCGATCAGAATTAATTTAATTTTTTTTCTTTTTTTTCCTTCTTTTTCTTTTTTTTGATTCCAGCAATATTTCTGAACAGTCTCTCAAATACATTCGTAGAAAAATGTTATTTGCTTGCGTGTACAACGCATATGCATGAATAGTGATAAAAAAAAAAAAAAATCACTGACGAATTAGAATCGAACGAACTGCAAAGGAATTCTTGTACAAGAATATCTAAAGCAATGTATTTTGTATTAAACTTTTTTCTTATTCCTTTCTTAATTTAAATAATCGAACAGTTGTTACTCGTCGCTAACAACAATAATAATTTATCTCTACCACATTAGATCACGATTAAGTAAAGATCATAAAACTCCCGCTAAACGAAATGAGAAAAGAAAAAAAAAAGAATTAAGGAAAGGCTCTGTTGTTCATTGTAAAATACGCGGAGCGCCTTATTCGACAGACTGCCAGAGGCGGGCTAGAGATTTCTTTTTCACGAATAATCTTGTTTAAAAAATGAAAATTGATGGACTACCATCTTCGCGATAAGTTATTATAAAAAGATCCCGGTAAGTCTGAAAACGTCCCAATGACATTCGTAGCTTCATTTCTCTTTTTCCCCCATATTTCTTTTTTCTTTCTTACGACTGATGTTGTGTTTCTTAGATTGTACTTCCCCCTCATCGAACAGAATAAAATATACAATATGTGTATGTGTGTGTGTGTGTATCAATGAACCATTACTATGACACTTCTTAAAATATCAGATACGCTCAGACTTCGCCGAGATCCCCGCAAATATTCAGGTAGAAAATATCATAACTTCTCACTGGTGTATCGGGATCGTTAATCGAACCGTCAACCATCAAAAATTCATACCAATTACTTATTTGTATCGTCATTCGATTA